ATAATTTCCAAAGAACGTTATTTGGAATGATACTCGTAATAAACATTCCATATGAAATTTGAAGTTTTTGTGATTTTTCATTAMAAATGTAGCGAACATCTCGAACCCACCTGCGTCGCGAGCATTCAACATAACCTMCTGAGTGTTGATTAATGATAATTTCCTTGTTGCATGATTTCCTCCGACATAAACACCGAAAGTCTGCTTAATTGCGACAATAAACATACAAATGGACTATACCCATATATACATGCTCACATACATATACACACTTATCTCATATATATACTTCAATGCAATGCGTGTTTATTTGACAGCCTAAATCACAATGTTATTTATTTGAACATATAATGGCAAACGGTTGAGGTCACGGCAGGAAGCACAGCTTTGGTCAATGTATATTATATTTGATTTATGTGGCTGTGTGCGCACGAAGCCCCACATTATTTTTAGCCCCACAAAGTTAACAAGAACGGCATGCATAACTCTTGGCTATATATACATATATATATATACCTTTCAGAAGACTAATTCAATGTGTGAGATGTATTATTGATTTCTTAAATAAATGTGATAGCCTCTCCATTTAATAACAATGTGTCTATACGACAAAAATTAATAATTGACACGATTCTACCCCTAGCAAAAATATACCCAATTTTGGGATTCCAAACTTCTGTTTGTCTGCATACCGTTTATTTCAGTCAATATATAAGAGATCTTAGAAAAATTAAGTGAATGTTTAAAATGGAACCTTATCCTAGCCGAATGTATCCAATATATATATATTTTCAACTTTGTAACAAAAAAAAAGTATTCGGAAATTTTAATTAATTTCCCCAGGTAATTTGTATTTCAAAAAATGTATTTTGCCAAGTTGGCATGATTCTTACTATGTCAAATAAGAGCCACGAGTGCGGAATAGTTGCGAATGTTAGAAAAGGTTTACGTGCCTCGTTCTGCAAACCTTCGACCATTTCAACTAATAAAAATAATAAAAAGCTGAAGGATATGGTGCTCGAAAATCGTCAGACAAGTGGTAGAGAGATGGCAAGAGAGCTCGACATCTCTCTCGAGTCGTACGAAACGCGTTCTTGCTCGACTCGTCCCAATAAAGGTGAATTTTTTGACAACAAGAGTAACGTAGATCGGTCTCTTTGTACTGGCTTGATCATGCGAATTCCGATCTTACATTAATGAAGAGCATTAAAACTGCCGATGCGACATGGTTTTATGAGTTTGACATGCAAACAGGTCAACAATCATCGGAATTTGACAACAAGAGTAACGTAGATCGGTCTCTTTGTACAGGCTTGATCGTGCGAATTCCGATCCTACATTAATGAAGAGCATTAAAACGGCCGATGAGACATTGGTTTATGAGTTTGACATGCAAACAGGTCGTCGGAATGGAGGAATAAACGGAGCCGAAACCAAAAACCACACCAAAGCCGCTCAAAAACCAAAGTGATGTTAACTGTTTTTTTTTTTCGATGTTCGTGATTTGGTGCATCATGAATTTGTTTCGGATTGACAAACGGTCAATTAGGAGTCCTATATGACCGTATTGAGGCATTAGCCTGAGATCACCCGTCGAAAATGGACGGACTTGTTGAAGAAAAATTCAGAATTTTACACAATGATAATGCAAAATCGCATTGAGCCAAAAACGCAATGAATTCCAGCAATCAACCACCTTATTCAACAGATTTGTCTGTGTGTGATTGTTCCCCAAACTGAAATTGCCGCTCCAAGCAACCCCTTTTTCAGTCAATCGAAGTGATAAAACAGCATTCGCTGAAGGAACTGAATGTCATCCAAAAAGTGCTCATGAAAACTGTTTCGAGCACTGAACTTTCATAGACATAATGTACTAAATATGCCCCTCAATCCCATTATAATTACTTCCATCTCACTGGTTAAGTTTTTCCTAATCCCAATCTTATCTAGTATATTAAATTTAGCCTCTTTGGTTGATTCAACATATAGTGTATCTCATTTGATTTAACTAGGCTGATGCTAATACTCATATCTCGATTATGAAGCAAAATTTAGTAATGAGACTAAGTGACTAAGCTATGGCATAGGTAATTAAGGCACTTATGTAAGTCGGTTGTAATCGTTTCACACTTTGGTTGAATAACGAATGTTGCCAACACCTGAATTCTTGGTTTTGATTTCTGCGAGAATATAAAATAAATTTACTCGCATGCATTATTACTCAAAAATGCATTTTCATTAGTTGAATCAATTATACAAGGTTGTGTCGATAGCCCAATAGCGGCAAGTTGTCAAAACAACTGGATCCATACTGTCAAAATCAGCCGTATTTATTTGTTTTTATGATTCAAAAAAAAAAAAAWGAAAAATCACACAAAATATGAACAGAAATTTCATGAGAAAACCAAAAAACAACTGATTTTGTCATTATGGATACAAATATTTCTTTGGAAAAGGAAGCACGTTTCAACCAACAAAACCTGTTTTTAGTTGAACATGGTTGAAGTCCTTCAAACATTTATGCTTGAATCATAAAGAGAAAACAAAAAGGCTGATTTTGACATACGAGTTTTAACACTTTTGACAAATTGTTGTTTTCGGATTGAAGTTACATAATTCAATCTTGGTTGGCCTGAACTTTTCAACCCAAAACAGAAAGAAAATTGACGGAAGAAATTCTCAGTGTCGTTTCCCTCCACAAAATGCAAGGGAGATTGTGCATCTTCACCTTTGGCGTGCTTGTGGGTTACATCATCTTACCCAAAATTAAAGAAAAGTAAACAAAAAATTAATCAAAATTAAATATGGGAAAATATGGAAAAGTATGAAGCAATAAGTTAAATGTGTGAGTTGAAATAATTAATTGTTTCCTTCTTTGGTGAATTTTCACTGAATTGTGTGTTTTCGTTACAGTATCGAATAACGATTCATGAATACTCATGTGTGGTCGTTGGATATACGAAATCGTTGCTAACTAAAGCAACAAAGAGCGTTGGAAATGCATAATAGTCCTCTCTGTTGCAAGACCGCATATTCAGAGCATTTCTTTTCATTATCGCTCGTTTCGTTCATTTAAGGGGATGTGTGTTCCGGAAGGCCAAATTTCGAGTGTTTTTTGGTAGTTGTTATATTTTTTCATGAACTTATATTCATATTTCAGAGAATATGAAATGGTTAGTTCATACACTCACCCGGATTTCAACTCGTCTCGTCGTCCGGGTCATTTCTATAACCCCATATATATCTCGTTTATTCTTAGTTGATTGGCATGAACTATCGTCATATGAACGAAACTATTACACTATGATTATTGTGCTATGGTGCAACAGGTTGCGAGAATAAAAAATAATAAATTTTTCTTTGAAGTTTCTACCCTTTCGGGCATCGGAAGTATTAAGCAATTACAGATAAAACCAAAAACAGAAGAAAAAAAGTTTATTACGGCTTCATCGAAGCTATAATACTTATGTATATACTTGTATATAACTTCATGGGTTTTTTGGTTAACAAAGGAATTTTTTCCATCGATATCACAAAAACTGAGGGATTACTTCATAAATGTACAGACGGAATGGATGACTAAATCAACTCAGCTCGTCACGCTGATCATTTCCCCTATATACCCTGTTCCGAGTATAAAAATGCTAAAATTTTAATTAAAGCGTTAGTAACTTTCAAAATAGGAAATGTTTGAGTGACTGCGGTAATATAGCAAGGCATCATATTCGAAATGTTGCGGTATAAGTATGCTCGCGGATCGATGATCGACTGCATGTTATTGGAGAATGCCCGATGTACTCGGATATTAGKKATCGTGATATAATATTATGGGGATTAGCTGGACTGACGGACCTTTAGACTTACGTATTTATCGGTGTGATCTCCACTAGTCGGAATGCCGAACAGTTAAGGTTGTTTAGTTGGCGAAGACATATAATGACATATAATGTCCAACCCCTGATCAGCAGTCCACAGCAGTATGAAAGCTCAACTGGCAGTAGTTTCAACAACAAAGCCTGACCGGGGACTTAATTCTGGCACCACGGGAAGCAGAAGCCTTTGAAGTTCGCTTCAACCTGCTCATGCGGATTGTTCCCACGAGAAATATCGTGGAGGTTATGTTTAAAAGACGGCAATAACTGTCACTTTGTCGGTTGATAGTGCAGTTGAATTGTAACCAGGTGCCGTACCCAAAGTACGGCAGAGATTTTAGTGGAGCCTCGAACCCTAGCTACGTATATAGTTGGTGTATCCATTCCATACAGCCAACTGGTACAGAAAATGCCAAGCAGGTACCCCCGTTAAACATATTTGATTCTTTTGCATGTGCAAGTCAGCTGCTACATAAGAAAAATATTTTTCCAAATCCAATCTGCAATCTACATCTAGGTGTTGTCCTCTATAAACTCACTTCCACAAAAATATTACGCTGTATTTCGGTTAAATTTTAAATAGTAAAATTACTGTTATCGGTAAAATAACCTGAGAAACCATAAGGACGGCGTGATCTCAGGTGACGCCACGGCGTAAGATCAGTAATCTAAGCTAACCTATAAGATGGTGTTCAAACATGAAAACAGCAACTTATTCTGGACGATATTGAATATTTAATTTCTCATAAAATCATTGAATTKCTTATCACTCAGCAAATATGATGTRCATATTCTTCAAATTATTTAAAAAATATAATAAAGCTACTCAAATTCTCAAACAATGTGAATGAGTTGTTAGCTCAAGTAAAGATGGTTAGTTTTTTAGTGATATTTGGTTTAGGCTTCATTTGCGGCTATTTTTTTTGCCACAGCATGTGAGCGAAATTAAGTGGACATATGTGAGTACAGATCTACGTTACTACATACATATATACATACTTAAAGAATTCTAATAATTAATATATTTTTTATTACTCGTATAGCTGTTATGATTTCACTCTAAAATCCTGTATCTAAAACATTTGTCTCTGTTTTCTTTGTAATTCTTATTGAATTTATCTATTTTGTTGACATTTCGCTTTGAGAAAAAAGCAAAATTACAAATAATTGAAAACGATTTCAACTTCTTTCCGCAAAATGCAAAGCCTGACACAAAGAAAACTCTGCATYTTCACCTTTGGCTTGTTTGTTGGATATATTATTTCGCCGAGGAGGCGCTAAGAGGAATAAAAAATTTGCGAGGAATACGAAATTTGCGAGAGTGTATACTATTTATTTTCAATAGTGCTGCTGTTTTTTGATTGTAAGTGTTGCTAGTCTGTGAACCTTACTTTGATTGCTTCTGCGCGCTTGTCTCTCATTTGTGKTTTACTTTCAGCATTGAACTCTAATCTAAACATAAAACTAAAGCAATTTCTAYTTACGAAGCTGTCTAAACAATTTTCTCTTAAAATTTTAAAAGCGAGTTACATTAGTTAACGAAGAAMCCGCCTTGGAATGACCGAACCGTTGATCATTTTTTGCATGGGCACTTTGGCTGGCGTCATATTGGTGTAAGCATCCAGAAATGTTAACTGGTGGTACATTCTTAGAATTATTTTGGCATTTTTCTCAAATAGATATGGGTTCCATGCTAAGKGTTTTAGGTTGAAGTATATTTATGTTTTGTTCCCGAAAGAGATAGGGAAGTACAATATAAACCGCATGTCTAGAAATAATATTACAGATGCGGCTTCCTATATACAGCAGGAGCACTTTGACTTGTTACTGCAGCACATTGATCTCAACAAAGTTTCAAAATAAGTAAGATTTTCAGTTGTAGTCCAAGGCTTTATCTAGATTCTACCAAAAATAGGCAGGAATCTGAAGAAATGCTATCTTTTCTGTGACCTGTCTGTCTGTTTCCTTATTGGAACAGCATGCTCTCTTTTAATGTGTCCTAATTTAGTATTTTTGTTGTTTACAAACAAAGTCAACTCATAGATCATAGTAAAAACGCTCTCATATGAGATGCACGAAACTTTATTTCGTTCGGTGTCGGCAAACGTCTTTTCGCTTTTTATTATTCACTGAAATAAATTTTAAATGTGTTGGCACGAATTAAGAAACAGTCTTGGAGMGTCTTAGAATGACTCCTAAATAAAAAGTTATTAACCAAATACCTTGTCTGTGGTTAGCTCAAGTTTCGAAAATTATATATAATGACATTTTTCACTTCACGTAGCCTTTGTATTTTCCGTATAATTCTAGTCTGACATAAAATTAGAAAACTTTCAAAACAAAAGAGCAATTCAAATATATTAATATTTCTATTTGCCAGTAATATTCTACAAGGAAATCGGCTGGAAGGAAACAGAATGCTTGCAGATCGCCTGATAATATTTATATTTGGTGTTGCCATTGGCTACTTTATTGTGCCGAAATTGTGATTTTCATGTGACGCTAAATTCAAATATGTATTCAATTATAAAAGCAACAACAATGCGACAATAAAATTTCATTTACGTAATTAGGAAACGTTTTGAGTTTGTGGTAATTATAGTTAGCAWAGCAATTGAAATGCTTCGAGTCATTAAGGATGAAAAATACATGCTGAACTACACGTTTTCAAATTTCATATTGGTTTTGTTGTTGTATTAGCATATATATAATTTCGGAGAATGCCGCTGAGATGGTAATAACCAACGTAATAAGGCGTACGATTTGCCTTTTATCCTCAGAAAAAAGTACTTGAAAAAACAAAAAAATCATTGTAAGCTTTGCTTCATAGTTAAATTGAATAATCAAAGTAAATGTCAAAACCTAAAACTTCTAAATATTTYGTGTGAAAATTGTTGAAATTTTTAAAGAGACCTCTAAAATAACTAATCAAATCTTAACCTGGAATTGTGGCTCYTTCAATTGGAACCATGGATAGAATTATCTTATTCAGCCTTGGCGTCTTAGTGGGTTATTATATCTTGAGAAGAATGTAATTTGTAGAGTATGCATGAATATAATGGAATAAATTTTAATGAATATTGCTGCTGTGTGTCTCYTTGGAAAGAATAATTAATGTGTTCTTTTTCGATTTATGTGTAGAGGAGAATAAAAATTCGCTGTAAAAAAATTGTAAATAAATACATATTTATAATGATAAATACAACGATTTGATTTTGAACGATGGAATATTATATATAATGCATAAAGAAGTAAGTATACTTACATATGTACRTATGTATAAAGAAAGTATGAGAGAAGCAAGTATAACCATGTACCTTTTGAACACTCTTTTTAAAAGAAGTTTGTACTTTTGCTAGCCACACACATTTTAATTCCATTGAATAATACATAAGCTGACTCATCCCTTCGCAGATGCATAACACAGCTTGTGCAATAACTGAAGCCGCTCAACTTTTCCAAGCTACATCGCTTCCTTGTAAGGCCTTTCGAAAAGTTCCAAGAAGATCAGATATTCAACAATGAGACCTATTTCTGGCTCAATGGGTATCGAAACATGCGAAATTTCCGCATTTGTGACAAAAAACAACCTGAAGTGCATTTATTGAGAGAACACTTCGGTGTACAGCTAATTTCATATTATGGGCCGGTTGATTGGCTGTCAAGATCGTGTGAATAGCACACCATTAGGCTTCCTGTAAGGATATATAAAGTTTAAAACATCACGAGTCATMGACAATTGAACTTAAGAGATGGAACATTTCACTTGTAACCGCGACCAAAAAGATAATTAAAAAAAAAATAAATAATTAATGCTAATTAATGTTAGTTCGAATGATAATAAACATTTCTTATTAAATTTGAAATTTCTGTGCTTTGTTTTTAAGTAGGGAACTGCGAAATGGGTCAACATATACCCTCTCCAATCTTGTGAACAATATTTACTTACTCTACTTTCTTCTTTTTATCTTTRCAGGTAATTATTACTATATCAGACTTTTGATCTTAAGACGAGGACATGGTACGTAAATCACTATTTTCGTCAATTACATTTTTTAAATCTGATAACGATATGTTGAGCTTCACAATCTGAAGATCTGAACCATAAACAAAAGCATATTTTCCATTTCAATTGCTAGTGTTAAATTTATACTATTTTTCCATAAACTAAAATTTAGAATCGATTTGTCCTCTGACCTACATGCGTAAACTTCTTGTACTGCAAAGCAGGTAAAAAGGTTGTTTGCAGGTGGCATGTTTTTAAAACCGTCCAATTCTATTTGAAACGAAGTAAACGTAAAGGTGTGCATTGTTTCTTTATTTATGACGATCATACCTCACGTCTTACACCTAAATTCAATAATAATATATGACTAAAAAATTTATTTTTTTCAAAGCCTGTTTATTGTTTTCCCTATCATTCACTAATTATCTTCTTAAAAAAAAGAAATCTGACGCAAAGTATTCATAAGAAGAGTCAGAAAGTAAAGGTAAGCATATTGAGTCATTGAAGGACCCATTTTTTTAAATAAAAAAAATGTAACCATGTAAAATATATTTAATAAATAATATTTCTCTAAAAAACATATCTAAAACACAAAAAAAAATATGTTTCTATGTATATAGTCGGTGATTTCAAAACTCGCCATAATCATCTCTCAAAGAAATGAAAATAAATATTATATACAAGGAGAGGCGAAACTACCTGCCCCAGTAATACTATTCTCTAACTGTAAACTAAACATATTTTCAACGGTCCAATTATTTTGGAATCAAATCTGAATAAGCCTTTCAAAATAAAATATCTATCAATAGTCGGTAACTTAACAAATAAATGAAGAATTTGTGCCGTATCCTGTTTAGTTTAGGAAGCCAATTTTTTAATATTGAGTTCCGGTGGGGGTTAAAGACCTCACTCAAAAATCTCTCAATAATCAATTTAAAAAGAACTTGTTATATTAGTTATGATTTGAAACTTATTTAAAATGGGTTCACTATTCGTCACTTAGCCTTTTAAATTAAATAATCGGATACGCCTCTGCCCTTCAATTACGCACTATAGTCTAAGAAAAAATATAATGCTTTGATGCATGYGACTATTTAATTGCCTTTTAATGGAACCTAGTTAATAAGCAATGGGCCCGCATTTATGCAAATCCCAAAGGTACTCTCGGCGCAAATAAATAAATTCGGAAACACATGTGCTGTCATAAGTAATCAATTTGTAATAATAATATTTATTAGAACCTGTGTGTTAAGCGGGCTGAATGTGAGTTGTAGTTATTGGAATGAAGGAGGAGAGAGAAAATAAGATAAGCGCGGGGGGCGCGTTCACTACTAAAAACTATGGTGCAGTTTAACTAACAGCAAGCCCAGCAAAAATGGGGATGTATGTCACAGCTGCATAGAACTTTATTTTGAGAGCGTTCAATTATATTTTAGGTGTATATTTATGGTTATATACTGACTACAAATTTGGAAGTGAGCATATCGGTTGAGACTTCATACATAATATGGTAAATATTTAAAGCATAAACAGACAATATAAATATGAAATGACACTATTAATTAGAGTAAGGTTTTGGCATCTCAAGTCTGATCACCGTTCTTTTGATGCTCTCTCTTCCAATYGCTGGTCAGCTACAAACCCTAATATAACCTAACATATCCAAAGATATGTAAAAAATATTATAGTTGCCGAAATGTAGGGTTGTTTTATAGAGGCCCCTTGACATTGCAGGTTCTGCACAAAAAATAACAGTACGACGTAAACAAGCTCATTTTTTTTTTTTTGTCATTAAAGAAATAAATAATTTTATTGAAAGCCCTTGCCAAATGGATCTTCCTGTAAGACCTATAAGACAATGTGAGGTTGGTAACCAGATARAAATGCTCAACAATGCCAAATCCCTTGGTTATGATCAAATAAACGCAAGAGTGGTTAAATTGCTAACGAAAAAAGCACATAACCTTTTAACACTTTTATTCAATGCAATACTACGGCTTCACCTCTTTCCGTCACAATGGAAGTGCGCGGAAATCATTATGATCAGCAAACCAGGCAAACCTGAAAGCATGCTGAAGT